TCAAATAAATTTTAATGCATGTATTTATCGACTTATCTTTGAATTTTTTTCACTGGCTCGATTCAGAATTTGGAATCAGCTTTATTTATTTTTTCTCTCGGGAGTCTCTTTTTCAAGATTGGATATCATTCACTGGTCAAATTTGGTGAATATGATTTCTGATTTAGGGTTTCTCTGCATGCCCCTAGAATCAGCAGTCTAAGCAATTACCATGGTGTCTCCGAAGCAGCTCGATTTCTCTTCTGGTGGTGGTGGTGACTCCGACGACACCCTCTCCCGTCGAAAATCTCCACGGAATCCTCCCCAAAGCGTGCTGCTTCCGACGCATTAGAAGCAGAAGCAGACGAGGAGACTATGAAAAAGAAGAAGAAGATGAAGAAGAAGAAGAAGAAGAAGACAGTGGGTCCGCCGATTTCGTCCGGATCTGGAACGAGGAAGATGAGCTCGCTATCTTAAAGGTAATTAGTAATACTTTCTTCATCTTCTTCATTATACTTTGATTTGGTTGCATTGTGATTTTTCTAAAACCACATTCGAATTGCTTAGGGATTAGTTGATTACAGAGCTAAGACAGGATTCCAAAGCAAAATTGATTGGGATGCGTTTTATCGTTTCCTCGGAGTTTCAATCGCTGCGAAATTTCCAAGGAGCAGGTTTTGAGTAAGATCAGGAAGTTGAAAAGTAGATTCCTTGTCATTTTGAGAAAATCAATCAAGGGGATGATCCGAAATTTACTAGGGCTAGTGATTCTGAAGCCTTTGGGTTCTCCTCGATGATTTGGGGACAAGATGACGGTGAATTTGGTAATGATGATGGTATGGATAAGGAGCACGAGACACCAGTTAATGGGGCAGCGGAAAACGGGACTGCTCAGAACGAGAGTGGGGAGGAGATGTTGAAGGAGCATGAGGAAACCTTAAATGAGAATGGTGCAACGAAAATAACAGACAATGGGACTGCTCGAAAAGCACAGCAGAGCGAGAGCGAGAGGAGATGTTGAAGAGCACGAGGATGCGGTGGCTAATACTGAACCCTTAAATGAGAATGGGGCAGCGAAAACAACAGACAACAGGATTAATGAGAATGGGGCAGCGAAAACAACAGACAACGGGACTACTGCCGGAAAGGAGAGTCATGACGATGATGATGAATTACTCGCTGTGAGGGATGCATTTGAGGCTGTAATGTTGCAAGGTTTAAGTGATTATCAAAAGAAGTTGCAGCTTGAGAAGCTCATGAACCTTGGAACTGGAAAAAGAAGAGAGTTGAGCGATGAATGGAAAGCGTTATGTGTTGAGGAACGGAAATTGAATATCAAGAAGCTTAGATTTTCTGCCAAGCTTGCAGAGGCTGCAAATGATAGTTAGATGAACCAATAAGCCGTTATTGCATTTGGTGTTGTTTAGGTTCTTAGTAGTCGTAAGTTTTCGAATGTTGAGTGTAATTATCTTTGGATGTTGCTTTGTTCGTTTGGTGCTCTACTTGGGAAAGTGTTTGTAAGATATTTTAGTTCTTCCTGAAGTATCCAGAGGAGCCATGTCCGTTGTTGGATATATAATAAATTTCATAACTTTCTTCTGGCACCAATCTATCAATGAAGTGGCAAACCATTTTATATTCCCTAATGTAAAGGCATTTACAATGTAATTTTTACATTTTTACCACTGAAAAGGACCAAAGAAGTGAACAAAGAAACACCCTCCCAGAAACACCCTGACCAAATAATCAAATAATTTTTCTTGTTGGTAGTCACCAAACCCTGCAATTCCCACTTCCTTTGCAACAAACGGCTTATCCATATGAATCCGACAGAGGAAGACAAAAAGGCTTTTAGTCTTGTGATGTAGCAGAGTATTCAAAAAGCAAACGTTTGGAAGGTGCAGATTGCAGGAGGACACGCAAGCGGCTTGTGAGCTGATAGATAAGTGTCCATTGCATCGCCATCTCAGAATCTTTCATCTGTCTTACCACAGAGGCCTGTAAATAAAAGAAGGCAAGAACAGGGTGGTGCATGTTTTGGTAAGTTTCTACAAAGAAGTGTGGGATATAGAGAAGAAAGAAGATTTCAATGTTTATGCCTGACCTGAAGACGTTTTCCGAGCTGCACTTCAACTTCTGTTCCAAATGAGATGTTGCTCGCCAGAGACTTTAGAGGATCAACAGTTGGATCAACAGAGAGTAAACTTGGGATCTGTGGGGCATACACCAACCTCCATCTCGCTTGACCAAACTCTCCTTTACCTTCTATCCTTGGCATTATGGTTTCAAGTGTTGCGGTTGCAAGTTTTTTGAAAGCAAGTTGTCCATCTCCTTCTAATATGGATTCAGCTAATTGGCTCTCAAACACCTTTGCAGCCTGGGAGAGTGAGATTATAAACAGAAAATTTCGTCAAGAAGAAAAACGCAACAACATTTCCAAATTTCAGTTAGCATTTTTGACTTCAAAATTACCTCGGAAGGTGAGAGAGCATCCTGTTCCACAGAACGAGTTGAAGTCACCACTAGTTTTTCCTGCCAATTGCTGGCACGGCACGGCTTTGGACCCTAAATTGCCATTCTGAACCAACTAAGGCTAAATCTAGCAGAGGATCTAGTCCATGTTCAGGCTCAAACTTTGCAACGTTGAGATACTCCCTCTTCAGGCGTACCTGTGTTAGAAAACAAAATAGATGATGATTACTCTCGGACAGCCTTGTGTTTGCAAGAAATTATGGAATGAATGAGTCACCACAGAAAATCAAAACAGAGATTTAGACAAAACCTGAGTAGCCACAAGATTGACATCTCCATTCTCGAATGTCAGGACACCCTTTGGTTTGATAAATTTTGGATGAGCCATGCCATCAAGTTCAAGCTCACCACTAACAGCAAAATTAAGAATTAAAGGATACACTATCCTCAGTTCTGGTCCTAAAACAAGTTTCATATCACTCAGACGGATATCCATATTTGGTTTCATTTTCACTTCCTCAATCTCCTTTTCAACAGAATTAGATTTACCTGTTGCGGGCAAAACGAGCAGAGATCATTACAAAGTTTTACTTACAAAGTCCAAATACTATAATAGAAAAAAATCATAGAAATTTTGCTAGTAAATACATAAGTTACCAGTAGACTGGGAGAATTTCATCCCTGAAGAAGCCCGTTCTGTGCCAAAAAATCGAGCAAAATATCGTGAAGAAACTGCTTGATTATAGCAGCACCTGGAATCCTATATTGATTGGCTGCCAGTCTATTTAAAGGGGCAGCTCCGCCACCCTTATCATGAGGCAGATAAGCTTCTCCTTGGCTTAATTTAATATTTCCTGATATAGTTGGCTGCAACATTGATCCAGTAATTTGCAGCTGAGTATCAACCTGACCACTGATATGGCACACGATCACTCTCATAAGGAGTCAGAAAATGTAATAAGCTCAGTAACATGAGTCTAGAAGCAAAAAAATGGAGAAACCTAGACGATACAGTATCTCAGCATGCGGTCTAGAAATATAAAATTAACCAAAACTGATCCCACGGATAAGGTATGTACCCCTCAAGATATACCAATAGTTAAAGTAAGAAAGATAAATCAAAATTATGTACTAAAGCTTGAAATGATTGACAGCAGCGTTGATTGCAGAGTATACCTTAAAAAAATTCTTTGCTCGTACTTCTAGAACTTCACATTTGAGCTCTATTCATCACCAGTCGATGCTTCATTTGATCTAAGGGAAGATTTCCTTTCACAACCAGCTTTCCCCTTCTACTTACCCTGCTTTCCAGTGAGGTGATGCACAACCTGTTTGATTTAACATGTAAGGTTCCACCGAAGTTTGTGAGAGGTTTACGGAGCACAGGTGAAGAGATAGACGCCCTGTGGAATGAAGCAGACCCATCAAGCACTGGATGCTCTACTGTACCTCCGACCTGCTCAGCAGGTAGGTTATGCGTAAATGAATTTAGTCAGAATTGTAAGGACATGGGCAGATCAATGTAGCTATCTTACAATGTAAAGACAACATAACAAGAGGATAATAGCCAACCTGAAGCCTGATATCAGCGTTTCCTTGGAGCCAATTAGCATAAGGAGGATATGGCTGTTAACAAAGTCATTCCCCCATCCTTGATGTATGCTTCCAATCTAACTTCTCCTTCATCTAAAATATTCCCGTATAAACCCTTGAGACTCTCAGCTAGTTGGCTGTCCCATCTCTCTCGCTTCCTATCCCTTGAGGTTCTCTTCTCATCATCGTCCTTTTCTTTTGCCCAACTAGGGGATTTTCACTGCACCACCTCTATCTGTTTCGCTGTCTTCTCCCTCAGACAATTTTTTCTGCGAAAGAGCTAACAGGAACACTTCCTTGTATATGGACATGACCATTTTGGACAAATGGTTCGAAGTTGAGTTGAAAAGAAAAACGACTGTTAGATGTAAGAGAAGCAAAAAACTTCAGCTCGTCCAAGGTCTATACCACCAACAGCACCATCCAATATCTAACTTGTACATCACTTCTGGTTTTTCAAGACTCCCTCTAAGATCCCCTTCCATGTGCAAAATGCCTTGATTTGGTGACAAGAGTTTTCCCTCAAAGGGTGAACAAGATCAGTAGCTGATGATTCATAACCTCAAACCAAGGTAGGTATCAAACTAACAGGGAAATTCAGAACAAGCAAAAATGAAGATTGGTTTTTGGCCCCAATAAGGTCCCATCGCCGTGCAGTGTAGCGTTTCCTTTTTGAATAAGCATCTCCTTAAGACGTAAACCATCATCATTGCTATACGAACCAGTAGCCAGAACACGCTGTGTTTTGTAAGTCCCCCACTCCCAATCATCTCCATGGAAGTCAAATTCGGCCTGATATTAGATGTAAGAGGAAACCGTTTTAAACAAGACATCACTAGAAATTCTCACGTGATTATACCACTCATAAAAAGTTTTTTTTAACGACAATTGCACCCGTCACCTTGGACAAGAAACTTACAAAAACCAATTTGGAGTCCTTAACCCTTTAATTTTAAAAACGAGATGACAGAGTTATTTATATACCAAAGTGTCTCCATTGCCTCCACCACTAGCATCAAGCGAACCATGCCAATGACCTTGAGCTCAGCTAAACCTGGAAGACTTAGATCTTCAGAACGACTTCACTAGGTGGAGTATAATACCCACGTATCTCCTGATTTTAAGGAACCATAAAATTTAGCATAGGAAAAAAACTAAAGGCGACTTATTGGTATCTACACTGTTTTTTTTTTCGTATTATAGAATCTGCTTTCTGTGTCAGAAGCCTGTTAGCTACTACGAATGGAGGAAAGGCAAAATATTTGGTGCATTACCCTCGAGCAAGTCTCGAAGATTTTCAGCTTGTAGACCAGAGATTTTGCACGCTTTGAATGAAAAGATCCTGCAATACCAACCAAGAAACCCAACATCAGAGGCATCCAGCTCAAAGAGGAGATGAGAACATATTTTTGGAGTACATGAACATGAAAATGCTCTTGCAGGTTGTGTTTTTTCTTGAACCAACATTTTAGAACATGGCTACTCACAATATAAGCATGTGATTTAGCAATAACATAAGCCAACCTTTGATCTTGAGTGAACAGCTGGATCTGTACTTCTGAAAGAAGCCTTGCAAGAGGAAGCAATCTCAGCAACCTCTGCCTTAGGCACTTCAAGTCTCATTCTCCATCTACCCATGGAGGATATAACACTTCCTAGATGACCAGTCATGGCTCTCATAAAAAAACTGCCAGCTTCCTTCTGACCAAGGTCTCGGTCACGGGAACCCGGCAATACATATTCACCTTGAAGCTCATACCGGCTATTGCTTTGTTCCAGAATAGGTTTCTCAACAGTTATCTTCAGGAAGAAAGATGAAAAGGATAAGAAGAGATATCATCATGCATATTCTCATATTGATTTCACTACTAAAAAGTACTTATCATAACCTCTAGTCTTCCGGACAACATAGAAACACTTAAAACAAGGTAATAAAACATAGATATGAAATAGGATTGAATTACTCATGGCCATTTATATGGTGGCAAATGATGTACTATGAAATGATTAAACTAGAAAAAAGTGATGATCACTTTTTCGATTTCTTAGAAAACTAAACCAAACGAACAAGAACCTAGAATTTCACTAAATTAGGGCCGAAATACATACCACGTCACCGCTCCATCTTACTGCAAACGTCTAAAGCTTCACCTAAAACTCCACTAAATTTTGGCCGAATTACAGACAACAGGCCATGGTCCTCTTCGCCTTCTGAAGATTTAGTTGAATCTCAGCCTGCAAGTAATATGGAAAGTAAGATACTATTGATAGTTTTATAAAGAGAGCACTGGCCAGTAGCATCTGAAAAAGCTGATTTTCTAAGTTATATGCTTCTATGAGAAGTATCAAACCACATTAGAACCTTCCAGTTCCAATATTCTGCCAGAACTAACCATAATATTTGCAGGTTGTCATCTTAAGAACGTTTATTAAGTGAACCTAATCTTCATTGACACTCTGACATGCAAGAAAATATCCTAAAAAGACTGAAGCTGATAATACTGTTAATAACTGTTCTATTCTGCACTCACTCAGCACCAGCACAGAATAAACAACTCGTATGGATGTGCTTACCTTTTGAATCAACCCTCTCAATGAAGCCAACTCCACTCATCAAGTGGAAAATTGCGTATCTGCGACCAGATATGGGACAAAATGTAAATCATTTACCGCCAATTCTCATTTTCTATTCGAAACATCAAATAAAAGCATATATTCACACAGAGAAAGCAATACCTCCAAAGTAGCGGACTGTTGAGGTTGAAAACAAGCGTTAGCTCTTAGTTGTCCCTTTTGAAGAGAAAACGAGAGCAACTTTCCATTTTGTACATTTTCGTCAGAATTAAGCTGTAGTGGACCTATAAAGTCTAGTGTAAGACTTTCATCTGGCCGGCCCACGGCATCAAGCTAGATATGCAACAATAGTAAAGAATTAGTCCTATAAACATCAAGGGTTAACCTTTCCGTAACTAAAAATGGTCTACAACTGTTAAAATCAGACATATGAGACGTAGTGACACAAATTTGACAAGATAGCCTTTGGCTTCAATTAATTGAAAAAAAAAAAAAAAAAAAAAAAGCTTCAACAGCTAGAAATCTCATACCAATCACAACTCTTTTCCTGCCGAACAAAAAGGTCTATTGCAATTAATTTTAAGAACCACCATCGCGAGGATAGCAGCTACTAGTGCTCTGTGTGTTACTACTGATACTGATGATACGGTTCACTGCAGAAGTAAGAAATCAGTGCATTACCTTAACATGATCACGTGAAACGCTCAAAAGTCCAGCCAGTTGAGGGGCCAAAATCAACTGATTCAGCTTGAGACTTGAGATGGAAATTTCACCATCGAGGCTAGAAATTGGAGCTGCATTTTCACATTTGTCTGACCCAACATCTCCATCTTTTGTAATGCTGTGGCGTTTTATCTTTCCCAGAAATTTGATCCTTCCTGTTGCTTTCAAATGTGTAGGTCTTGGTGAATCAAATGGATAGGAAGAGACCAAGCTGAAAAACTCAAAACCACGCATACGTAAATCCAAATCAAGCCCCTCAACAACAAATGGCATGGCCTCCCCTTGAGTAAAGTCTTGGTGAGACAAACAATGGTTTTGGTATGAGGTATCTAATTTTGTGTATAGATCAAAAGCAATGGACGATGAATTAACGATGATATTATCATGTGATATCACAATATCTCCCCGAGCGTCAGTCAAGGAGCCATCAGCTTTAGGTGCTGCCCATTTTATGTCAAACCTCCTGCATTCAAAATTCAAATGGAGCACAATAAGTCAAGCACAAACATCAAAGAACACAAACTATAACCCAAGAGAATTGCAAGGAAACCTTACGGTTTTAAGAGGGCCCCAGAAAGTTTTGTTTCCCCAGTTAAATCACCCAATTTCAGCATCCCGATGTTAAAATATTCAGGCATATAACGATGTAAAACCTTATCAAAAGATATATTTCCTGAAAAGTTCACATCCAGTGCGGTATCATCTACCTCCCCCTGTAAACGTATATACCATTTCAGCATCGAATAGGAAAACAGAAACATAAAGCAATAACCACTATTCAATAACATACAAAATGCTAAATAAGGATGATGAAATGAAGACATTAGATTTTAGGATGTTATACATACATATTGTCCATTAGATTAACCTTGTAAAACAGCATGTCAACTGAGCTAGTGAAACTATTATTCAAGGAAATAGCAATCAATTGGAGGCGATTAAATTGAAATTTCCATACAATTGGTAAATGGAGTCAGGTGAGACAGGCTGGTCGTTGTGAAACATAACAATTTTTTTCAGTTAACAAACCAAGTTACTTATGAAGGGAAGCATACCATAAGCTTCATTCGAAAAAAAAAGTCTAAATCTCAGACACAGCTACCACCCCGATGTAGTCAATTTATAAACCTAACAGACTATTAATAATATCATCTGGAAAGAGTAAGCATGCATCTGCAGATTGAGCCACATAACTTGGTCATATTGTTAAGCCAACTGCTTGGTGTCTCGTTTTCCCTCAACACAGTCCTCACTCAACCCGGATACATCAATGACGCAAGGTCAACTGTCGTAGGATTATACAAGGAAAGGTAGGGAAGTACATACAACATACCTCTGGACAGATCCAAGCATTCCCTGCTCCTCGAATCTCCCCACCATCAACAAGGGTAGCTCTGATACCATATAAATCAGCAACCTATCACATGAAATAGGCTAATTTAAAATTATCCAAAAAGGTCATACATAGACTACTTAACGGAGGTGGATACAGACAAAGAAAACACTTACACAGTTGTCAGTGTTAAATGTGAAATTAGCAGAAAGATAAGAAAATGGAACACGGTCAAATGCTGCAACTGCACCAGCTTCCTTGTTTTTCAGCATTGCCTCATATGCCAAAGATGTAGGGAGATCTGGAGACAGATAAGCTATCTTCCTAGAGACCATGCAACTTCCCACAAAAACGGGAGCATCAAGCGGGCCTTGACAGTTGAATACAGCTGTGACAGAACCAGCTAGCTGCAGTCCAAGATGATAGAATGAATTGGGACTAGATTAAGGAGTCGATAACAAGGAAAAAAAAAACGAAAATATATCAAGCGCTAAATAAATGGTGAAGTTTAACGGAACAGGAATAAGGCAATATAAATGATACCGGGAAAAACAAGGGCTTCATCTTGAACGTTTTCATCAAAGCATTAATTTCCACATAGGGAACCTGAAACAAAATAGGGACTATCAACAACAAATCAGGCATAAAGATCAGGAATTCATCCAATTTAGCACCCACAAAATCATTTCGTTTTGTCTTTGACTGGTATGCCTAGATAACTGCCATCTAGATCAGGGGTTCACATAACAAATGTTACCTGACACATCAGATGAAACTCCCCCTCATCTGGATGTATACCGAAATCTCCAGAAGCCTCCAAAGGAACCTTTCCAAACCAACCATTAGCATTATGCAGGAAAATGCGCTGGCCGCGGAAAGAAAGGCTGGCTGAGACATCCTGCAAAAATAAATTGCAATAATATGAGGGAAAAGGTAGCCTGAGTCATCAGAAAAACATGAGCTGACATCCTGTGTTTGTAGCTAAAGATAATGACAGGAGAAGTATTATATCTGAACATTTACATGGAAAGCGTAAAACCTCTATTGAAAGACATATATTATAGATCTTCTAACGCAAAGGAAATATATTATAAAGACATAAGGCTGTGTTTTCAGGAAATATATAAACCCAAGACTTACAGAAAACGAAGAAGGTGCATCATTTATATGGAAGCCTAGTCCTGTTACGTCAAGTTGGCCATGTAGGTTTGGAAATATTTCTCCTCTAGACATACATAGATGAACCTGCAATGCAATAGACGACAGTTAGAAAAAGAAAACCCAAGGGCAAACCATGTTTAGAAATTTGCTCAGACCCCTCAACTTGTAAAAGAGAAGAAAGAACTCCCAATCTCTACTTCAAACTTCAAAGATCTGTCACAATCTACCATACATATAGATTCCAACAACAATGTGTTCTCTAGTCAACGTGGTGACACTTGATTGACTAACTAATTGGGCATATTTAACAGCACATCGAGATATTGTACAAAGAAATTACTGCAGAAAAAAAAGGAAAGGTTGAAAACGAAAACCGTAGCTTGGTAACGCTCATTGAAAATAATAAACTTTAATTCACTAAGAAGACACATAGTGGACATTAGAAAAGCACCTCACCAGTAGCTCTTCCCTTAGACCACTCGATTGGGATCTCTAGAATTCTTTCAAAAATCTGCAGAGATGTAGAAATGAGATAAGTCAACCATTGCAACTGATGCCAAACATAAGTCATCTATTCCACCTGGCACCTTACCGGGACAAAGAAGTTGGCGACATTTAAATTTGCATGCCAATTCTGCTCGACGGTATCAACAAAAACATCAACAGACAAAAGCCCACCATCTTCAGATGTTACATCTGATCTCCACATATTACAGTTTCCACCAAGTTGCACGTACACACGACCATAATGATTCTGAAACTTAACATGTCCATGGGCGTTTCTCATTTCTCTACATAATAATGTTGTTTACCAAAATCAGTCACATAAAATGACCTCTACTTCACTCAGCTTGCACTAAGTAAACAGAGATATAAAGACCATACTGATCTCATAACATAATACAGGGTTGATATCCACTTAAACTGACGCTAGAAGTAAAAATTTGATGCTACAAATTTGATTATTGAAAGCTGGAGTTGGAGAGTAAAAGAAAGGGCATAGTAAATGGCTGATTTAAACATTACTTTATCAAAGATAAATGACCCTCACCTGGGCTCTGTATCTCCATAAGCTAATAGAAGAAGTGTCCCGCCTTTAAATTGCACAGAGTCAAGCATAACTGGTAGTGTCTTCTCAACATAAACAGCAGGCAGCTTCTCTAGTCCATTGCTCAAGTGAGGAGCATTGTTAGCAGCATTCGGATCTGCCCTTCCTGTTGACTTCTTAGAGGAACCAGTTAAAATATTAAACACTGCTTCTTTTAATTTTATATTCCGTGCCCAAGAGGGACGCCAATGGTTTGCTACAGGTTGATGCTCATGCTTTTTGAAAGTAAAGTCATGAGGTTGATTTCCACTTTGATTACCATGTGGAGCATCGTCAGCATTCTGATCAACAACATTCATAGATATATCCCCTCTCTGACTGCTTAAAGTCTCAGATTCAGTAGAATTCACAATATCTTTACTTTGTAAGAGTGCACAGAGTCTATCAACAGTCATAAGGAATGGATCACATGATATTGTGAACTTGTCTAACGTTGAAGCCTTTTTTAAACTGAGGAGCCTTTTCCCTCTCCCTCGATAATCTAATGATTGCTCACTATACGGCACACGGCGATCATATTGATTACTGATTTCTCTATCACCTTTAACTAATAGCATATCCAAACTCAACCCATCATAATTTGTTGATAACACTGAAGGCTCGTCAAGCTTTTGTTGTGATAGACTGTGGAAATAAGATAGAGCCGCTGAAGCACTGCGCTCAAGAATTCTCTTCTTTGCACTAATATTAGACATTGAATTATTATGTGATCTGGAATTCCACTTGAATTTGTACTTCCTCGGAACCTTTAAAATTTTGGACAAGAACTTGAGCCCTGAACCAGGAATTTTTATGCCAAATGATTTCTCCAATTCAGCATGCTTCACGTCATAATCAACACCTGGATCCATGCAATGTTGGTCTGCTGAATGCATCTTTTCATCCATGCAAATAAACGAGTTGGGATTTGCAATTTCCATAAAATGCCTATCGTGCTTCACCCCATTATCTTTAGCTTGAGAATAATTCTTACAAGGAACGATATAGCCCGTCTCTGCAGCTTTTCTTGCATCATTATCCCTTTCTTCATCCCAACGGATCCCGGCTTCCTCCCTTGAAATTCTTCGAGTTTTGGTGCGAAAATCAATCCCTTCTTCAGAGGACAAATGGCCTGGCAAAGTAGTGTCAGATAAAGGTATCCCTAACCATGTAAAATCTTTCTTTTGTGCAACCAAAACAGTTGGATTACTTAAAATCGCATCAACCACAATCTTCCCCCTCCTAAGACTAGCAAAAGGACGGACACATAGTTTCATAGTCGGAACTTCACCACACGAAAACTCTTCACCATGAGGACCAATAGAGCTCGCTTCAAGTGTTATACACAATGGTGAAACTCTTCTAACCTTTCCAAAATCAACCTCACGCTGAATAGTCTCACTAAGCACAGAGCAAACTGACGGCAAAAGCTTACTCTCAACAAAAGCACGAGCCTTGTTCTGTCCATACCACACCAACAAGCAAACCCCAGAGATAACAGCAAAGAAAACAGAACACCTCAAGAAAAACAAACCCTCTTCCCAAACAGGAGCCAAAGACCTAACCAATCCCTTACTTCGTAAAAAAGGCTCTTTCAAACATTTCACTTCCATTCTACTTCTAGAATCAAGAGACTTCCTAAGCAATTGTACATTTTTCCCACAAAATTGAGAAAATTTGGCAACTTTAGCTAACCAATCATTCTGTTTCTTCTCCGAGGATATACGCTTGCTACGAAACGCCTTTCTAGCAACATTGATTCTCTTCTCTCTGCTAATGAAAGAACTCTGAAGCAGAGGAGTAGAAAGAAACGGGCTTTGCAATCTCAAGCTCATTATCACGTGCTCATCTGCTGGGGACCAAGAAGTGTGACTCTTAGCCCCCGAAAGCTTCAGACTTTAAGACAACCCACTTCTGAGAATCTTGACATAGATTGAATTGGTTTCTGAATGTGTGGAGAAACTAGGGTTTCTTCTAGTTAAAGCAACAAACTCGAATCGATTCTGACTAATCTAGGTCAAGTTTGTTTGAGAACGGGAACAAATAGGGATTATCAGTGGTCTAAGAAGAGAATCGAAGAAGCTTACGAGTTCGTTTATGCAGAGGATAGAGAAAGGAAGAAGAAGAAAGAAGCAATCTGCGTATAAAACTTGTGAATGGTTCCAACTTATAAATGTGGTCCGGTTTAACCGCAAGAACCACTCACAATTTTGATAACGGCGTACCAATATCCTTAAACCGGTTCATAAAGAGAACCGATATATCTTTCGGATTACCATATTAATCCGATCCAACTACGAGTATGCCCTTAAATTAATTTAAAAATATTAATTAATCCCTTCGTCTAAACTCTTAAGACTCTTTAACATATACTAGGACGAAACCCGCGCTACGCTGCGGGTATATTTTTGGATAATTTTTTTTAGTAGAAATATATTTTATAATAATTAAAACATATTTTTGAAAACTTTATTATATCAAACATTTAGCAGAAGAAGTCTTTTGGTATCAAGTGGTTTTATGAGGGAACACAATGCATGAGGTGAATGCTTTTTACTCAAATTCGGCTTATATATCCGATTTCTAGAATATTTATTTGTCTAAACCGTAGTTTGTTAAATGAAATGTACCAAAATTATTGAATATAAAATGAAACTACAAGCTAAATAAAAAATTTGGCTTAAGTTTAGCTACAATATTTGTGAACCGAACCAAACTTTTCCAAATAAAAAACTGGATGAAAGCTAAGTCTTTGATCATTTTTGTTTCGTTTTCTCATTTTGGAGTGGCATATAAACTCTTGACGTGGAACGTGAAAAAAAAATTATTGGATGAGAAATTTGAGTTGTATTAAACAATATTTTTATTGGATGACGATTTTAATGAGGTGTAAACCTGAGAACAGCCCAAAATATTAGGGTGTCAGACCTTGAGAGATCTTACTAAATAAAAAAATCGGTCTGACTTTGGGTACAATATTTTTATGTGAGCCTAACCAAACTTTTCAAAAAAAACTGAATGAAACCTAAGTACTTAATCATTTTTATTTTGAACAATTTATTTCAATCCGAGCAAACCGAAGTTCCGGACCGAACCGATTGAAACATCTTAATAATAAATTCTTTTCCTCGATATTTGGGGCTGCCAATTTTGACGACTAAGAAGTGGGTTACATCATCTTGGATCTAAGCTTACATAATCTGAAATCAAACAACTCATGGAAGTTGTAAGTTAAAGAAACAAATCCAATTGGTTAATTATTAAACCAAGCTAAAGAAATCATAATAAGCTAAATTTTCTCAATGGTTTTTGTTCATTTATAGGCTAGTGTGGACAAAAGTGGGACGATTGATTACATTGAGTTTATAACTGCAACAATGCATCGCCATAGATCGGAGAAATAAGAGAATTTGATAGAAGCATTTAAATTCTTTAACAAAGACATAAGGGGGTTTTGTATTCTTATAATCGTCTCCTTCTTCACCTAACTGAATACAATTGCTATATTAAAGATCGAATTGTCTTCAACATACTGTTCTTTTTTCAAAAATCAGATTTATCACAAGGGACGAGCTTAAACATTCCATGAATAAGTATGGTATGGGTGATGATGCGACCATAGATAAAGTTATGGATGATGTTGATACTGACAATTGTGTTGTATTTGCGTGAGTATGAATTAAAAAAAAAAACCCAAGTTTCTTATAAGGTGACTTGTTTTTTTATTTGAACAAAGTGAACCATAATTTGTTACTTATAAAGTTATAGCTTTAAATTGTTTGTCACGTTAACGTTTTAATTTATTCATGCGAATCGTGCCAAGGAACTTTCTGGCTCATTTAAAAGGAAATTAAGGCCCATTTGTAATAATAGATCTAGAATTTAGAAGTTTAGTTTTTTTAACGGTATCAAAAGAAAGAGTGGGAAACCCTCTACTTTATCTAGGGCTTTTGATTTTTTTTCAGAGTAGCGAAACAAGATTTTGAAGTTGACGACGATGCTCTCAATCTCCCAGCTGCCGAGAATTTGGAATTTGGAAGGCAACAATCACAATTTCTGAAGTAGATAGATGCATCCATCACCCGTTTGACACATCAAATTCCGTATCATTTTGCTCTTATACTATTCATCATAATTTACTCATCCTCGTCTTCTCTTTGTTATTCTGTGAAAAATTGAAATCGAGAAAAAGAAAGATGTAGGAGAGAAGACAATTTTGTATGAGTCAATCAATACTAAAGCCCACTTCTGAATAATAATAAGCCCACTTATTTCAAACAATAAGCCCAATTGAGATAAGCTTTAATAGTGACATGGAGCAAAGAACAATTATTACTGGCCAAGAAATATGAGTTGTATTAATCGAAATGTTTTTATTGGCTAACGATTTTAATGATGTGTCATGCTGAGAATAACTCAAAATGCTGATGTGTCAAGCCTAGAGAGATCCTTAGTGTTTTTATTGTATTGATGGTCCGATTCGTTATACAAAGATGTATAAGTTTTTTAGAAATAAATTAGAGTGGTAAGTTTTTACAAAACAATACAAAATTGTAAGAAAGAATGGTGCATGAAGGTTATAAAAAAAAAAATGAGAATAACGCTTTTAGTATTGCTTTTGTGATTGGTACAGTTTTACCAATCAAAACCATAATTTACCAATCACATCGGTACAGTTTTACCAATCTAAACCATAATTTACAGTATACTACTTTTCAAAAATGCTTATTCTCTAAAGCTTTTTTTTTTTTTATCAAAGATGCTTCTCAAAATCTAAGATTTATTCAAATAGTAGGCTTATTGGTTGCATGATCGTCATGGTTTTGACCTAGAGAGATAAGATGACGGTAACCTTAAACCTTTTGTATAACTAGGTTATTAACCCCCGGGGGTTTGTTATTAACATTTTTTTAAATATATTTTTGGGGTTAGTAATAAACTAATAATTTAAGTAGCTATAGATTGACATTAGTAATGCAAACATAATATAATGGTTTTTTTAAACACAAATTTTCTTTTATTTATATTTTTAGTATCATTTATATTATTTAAAATTTTGGTTTAATAAGACAGAAAAGAGTTTATAGGATAAAATTTAGTGTAAAACATATTACAAACATGATGTGTGATTATCTCTTATTTATTTTATGTTATTAAAGATTTTTCTATTAGTAAAGCAATTATATAAAATATTAAAAATTAAACTACCAATATATGTACACATTTAGGCATACATGTATTTCTCTTATCTATTAGTAAAATATTTTTGCTATTAATCAAGCAATTATAGAGTACTATATTTTTGACTAAAAATCCGGGTTGACACCTCCCCATTTTTACCCTTAACCGCAAGAACTGATTTGATTTTAGTGATAATTCGAGAAATTTTTTGGGTTTGGAAAAACCGCGATGTCCCAAAAAACCCATGTGCCAGCCGCTGCAAAAAAAAAGCAAATCGTGACAAGTGAAATCTAATCAAAGACATAAAATTTTGAAAAAGACATATATCTTACCGAGGAATTTTGAGTTGGCCGAAAACATGGTGGCATGTAAAACTCAAAAAAATGAGAGACGTATATAAAGAGAAATATGGTTGCTGATGAGAAGCACTGTTCTTTATCGTTCTGTCAGATCAAATCCGTCAATTTCAGACCGTATCGCCATACTATTGCTGAAATCTCAAGCATCTCGCAGTCTACTATTCCAAATCTTCATATGCAAATTTCCCAATCGAATCTTTGTTTATGTTCACCTCTCTCGCAATCTCATGTTCCATTGTCAGTTTTAAATGGCTATTTATACTTAAAAGCTACTTTAGAATTTAGAAACTTTTCTATTTTCCTTTTTGCTACTAATTAAGTGAAATTTTATCTTTTGTTTTAAACTATAATTTCTTTGACGATAGTTAACTTATTTTTTGTTGTGTTGTTAGTTGAATATATTTCTATTTTTTTGTTTAGTCGTATTGTTCCTCATCTTTTAGTAGTACTAGATGAATACCCACGCTACGCGTGGGTTTGTTTTAAAATTTGTTAATAACAAATTATTTTGATTGTTCTTGTTGCTAGTTGATCACCCGCTTTATGCCGCGGGTTTTTTCTGTTTTTTTTTATTTTGATTTACTTGATGTTATATTTTGATAAATGTAATTTTTAATTATCTAATCATTTACTCATGCAATGAACAACTACTGTTAGTATTAAAATACATTTTCAACCAACATACTCAACAATGCATCACTCACACAATCCGTAAACAATCTTTGTCCTAAACCAATTTTATAGATGGAAATGTTGGGATTATAGAACCTCAAAAATTTGATGACCTTACGTACTCTTCACCCTTAGTGTCATATATAGATCAAAAATTTAAGAGAAAAACTTACTCAAACCATTAGCTAATCCACTATACTATTATCCACTCATATTTTGAGTTAAGATTACAAAAATTAGCGAAAAAAACTTTGGAGTATATAAAACCAATAAAATAATTTAATTGAAAAAAACATAAAATAACCAAATAAGTTGGTATTAGTAGAAATCAATATGTAAAATTAAATAATATATATAATTAAATAATAAATATATTATTAACTTGTGAAATAGATTTTCAAATCCATATGGCCCATCCGTCATGGGCTATTCTGTTTTTCCCATTTGACAATTCTTATTAAAAGATGATGATGTGTAAAAAATAAAAGCTAAATCATATTAATGAAATGTTTTGATTGGAAGAATAGAAAGCTGATGTGTCACCTCCAGAATAGTCTAAAATGCTGATGTGGCGGAAGGATGGAGAGAGATAGCCTCCTTTCATATATATGATTTTTCTTTTTTTAGTATAAACTAAAATGCAGAAATTACTAACGTTAACATATTTTTCT